ACAATTGCTCTCAAAATACTACTTTCCTATTCATATAACACAATTATGCTTTAGTCCCTTCAAGATGCATTTCAGTTGGATAATAAACAAAGCTTCTTCAGAATTGTAAAATAGAATGACCAATTATGCTGTGCTTGCTATTGTGACCATTAATTTAACAAATGTTTGTGTTCTATCAGTGTGCTAGGAAGTATTCTAGGTGTCATCTCCATTAGTGAATTGGCCACCTTTGACACAGTTCTTTAGCCAGGGATTTAGATGTGAAATCACTTATTTCTCTAATTGCCTTTGGGTCTTCCACATTTTTCTTTCTGTAAGTTAGTAAATCATTAGACTTAGCCAGACATGCTGAAAGTCAAAACCTATTCATCCATTGATTCAGTAAGTGTTCATAACATACTCTGTGACTGCTGCAAGCAATACAAAGGTGAAAACGAGACAGCTTTGATCTCTGTCTAGGGACTAGGCATTATAAAATGGTATTGCTTATAACTATAATTACCCCAACAGATCACTCTTGCATAATGCATGATACTATGAACACAATAGCCATTCATTCATTAAAATAAAACTTAAGTACCTACTATGTGCTAGAGGGTTTGATTTGTGAAGGTCAGGGATAATTCTGCTATCCCAAGGACAGCTTCCATAAGGAAGCAGTATTGAGATCTTAGAGAGGAATCACCTAGTCTAAAGGGTAATGAAGAGCCTTCCAGGCCAAAAGAACAGTTTATGCCAGGGGAACAGAAGGAGTGGAGAGATGAGATGCCAGGACCAGGTAAAAAGTAAGGTAGTAGACCAGGCACTTCAACACATATGCTGTAATTGCTTTCTAAGAGCAGGAAGAAGTCATTAACATAACCTTTAATATAACCTATGAACTAGGTCTTAATTCAAGGAAAGTTCTTTGTTCTTATAGTTTATTTTGTAAAACAAAATTTAGAAAATGTGTTTCATCTTTTTCCAACAGAAAACTTCACATTTTTTTTTGTCTGTTAAATGTTTCTTCCCTTTGCCCCTTCTGCTACCTTCTGCCATGCATTCCCATCCTTTATAGTCTCTGGTCTCTACGCTTACCTTCTCTACTACCATATCTTCAGATCTTTCCATTTCTGCCATAGAAAGGAGACATTCTATACATATTAATCTCTCTGTAGTCATCCACTTTAAATCAAATGACGGTCTCATTGTTTCTTACCGCTGAGTAATATTCCATAGGATGTATGTGCCATAGTTTTTCAACCTAGTCATGTTTTGGACCCTTAGGTTAATTCCATATGTCAGCAATTGTGAATAATGCTGCAATAAACACAGATTTGTGAGTGTCTTTGACTGTTTTCCTATCCTTTGGGTAAATACCAAGGAATGGGATTATTGGGTCATATGGTAGCTCTATTTGTAGATTTTGAGGAACCTTCATATTGTTTTTGACAGAGGTTGTACTATTTTACATTCCCATGAACAGTGTAAAATGGTGCCCTTCGCATGTCTCATTCTTTATTTCCTTGATCCTAGCCATTCTAACAGGAGTTAAATAGTTTTGCATTGTGGTTTTAATTTGTATGTCCCTTATGACAAGAGATTTTTAACTTTTTCATATACGTTTTGGCTATTCATAATTCTTCCTTGGAGAGTTGTCTGTGCAGCTCATTTGCTCATTTTTTATTTTGGATTATTCATTTTTTTTATAGGTGAGCTGTTTGAGCTCTCTGTATATTCTGGTTATCAATCCCTTGTCTGAGGAATTATATGCAAATATTTTCTCCCATTCTGAGGGTTATCTTTCCACTCTAATTACTATTTTATTTGATGTGAAGACATTTTAGTTTGATTTAATCCTACTTGTCTATTTTTTTGGATTATTGCCTGTGCTTTGGGGGTCTTAGAAGAAATTTCTACCTGCTCCAGTGTCTTCAAGAGCTTCCCCTAAGTTTTCTACCAGTACTTTTATATTTTCAGGCTTTATATTTAAATCTTTGATTCATTTTGAGTTGATTATCTTGTCAATGATGAGAGATAGGAGTCCAGCTTCATTTTTCTGCAGGTGGATATTCAGTTCTTCCAGCACCATTTTCTGAAACAACTTCATTTTTCCCCCATTGGTCAGTGTGTCTATTTTTCGCCAGTACTGTGTTGTTTTGATTATCACTGTCTTGTATTATATTTTGAAGTTAGGTAACAAGATGCTTCCTACTTTATTATTTTTGCACAGTATTGTCTTGGCATGCTGATATGGGGTCTTTTATGATCCCAGATAAATTTTATAATTGATTTTTCTAGTTCTGTGAAGAATGGCGCTGGCACATTGATTGAAATTACATTAAATCTGTAAATTAATTTGGGTAGATCTGACATTTTGATAATATTGATTCTTCTGATCCAGGAACATGGGATTTTGTTTTTTGGATCACTCTCAAAATTTCAGTTTTTCATAGTTTTTCTTGTAGAGGTCTTTCACTTCTTTGATTAGGCTTATTCCTAAATATTTTACTTGTTTTGTGGCTATTGTAAATGGGATTGCTTTCTTTAATTCTGCCTCAATCTGTTCATTGTTGGTGTATATAAATGCTATAAATTTTTGTATATTAATTTTGTGTCCTCCTACTTTACTGAATTCATTTATCAATTCTAGGAGGTTTTTGGTGAATTTCTTTGGATTTTCTGTGTATATAATCATGTCATCTGCAAGTAAGATAACTTAGCTGCTTTTTTCTATCTGAATGCATTTTATTTTGTTTTCTTGTCTGATGGCATTGGCTAGGACTTCCAGCATTATATTGAAAAGGAGTGGAGAAAGTGGGCAGCTATATATTGTTCTGGGTTTTAAGAGGGAAAGCTTTCAACTTTTCCCCATTTAGTATGATGCTAGCAGTGGTCTGTTGTATATGGCTTTTATCATGTTGAGGAATGTCCTTTCTGTCCCTAGTTTGCTGAGAGTCTTGATCATGAGCAGATGTTATATTTCATAAAATGCTTTTTCTGCATCTGTAGATAGAATCACATGGTTTTTATCTTTTTCTGTTAATGTGATGTTTTGCGTATGTTGAACCATCCTTGCATCCCTGGGATAAAGCCTGCCTGTTCATGGTGTGTAATCTTCTTCATATGCTGTTGAATTCCATTGGCTAGTACCTTGTTCAGAATTTTGTATCAGTATTCAACTGGGATATTGGTCTCTAGTGTTCTTTTCTTATTAATTCTTTGTCTGGTTTTGGTATTGAGGTGGTAGTGGCTTCATAGAATGAGTTTGGGAGAGTTCCTTTTTTTTTTTTTTTTTTGAATCTTTAGAAATCTTGAGAATTGGGGTTAACTCTTTAATAGTTTTGTACGGTTCAGAAGTGAAGCCATCTGGACCTGGATGTTTCTTTGTTGGGATACTATTAATTACTGATTCAGTCAGTCCCATCACTTATTGGTCTATTTGGATCTGTTTACATGATCCTGATTCAGCCTAGATAACTTGTGTGTGTCCAGAAATTTGTTCCATTTCATCTAGGTTTTCTAGTTTGTTGGCATATAGTCACTCATAGTATTCTTGCATCATTTTTTGTCTTTCTGGTGTATTGATTGTAATATTACCAACTTCATTATTGATTTTATCTACTTGGTTCCTTTCTCTGTTTTCCTGGATTAGTCAACCTAATGGTTTGTTGATTTATCCTCTCAAAAACAGCTTTTTGTTTCATTGATTTTTTTTGTACAGTTCTTTCATTCTCTATTTCATATTAGCTTTTATCTTTACTGTTTCTTTTCTTCTGTTATTTTTGTGGGTTTTTTTGGTTGCTGCTTTCCAGTTCCTTGAGATGTGAAATTGTTATTTATTTGAGCACATGATTTCCCTGTCAGCTTTTAAAGCTATTATTTGGATTTTGAACAAAATTGATGGAGTAGAAGTCAGTAGAGGAATCCTGTTTGATCTGGAAATTTTCTGTGGACAGCCCAAAAGTTCAGAGAACCAAGTTCCTAAAATCTTTTAGTTTATCTAACATTTCTTCTTTTAATCTTTTATTATGTTCTTCAGTGTGCTTAGGTCATCTGGTTGCTGCAGTCACTGATGGCCCATATCTTTCTTGTTCCATTTCATCCTTGCAGCAGTTCTGTTGGAAAAAAGAATCAACTTGTGTTTTTTGGAAGCAAGATGGGCACATCTGAAGGGCTTGACTAGAAGAACTTTCAGCCTCTATATAATCTCTTTTCTTAAATTGCTCATTTCCCTCCTCCTCTAACTCAGTGCTTTCTCCTCTTCTTTTTGATTTCTCTTAATCTGGTATTTTTATTCCAGTTCTAGTAGATATTCATCATTCCGTTCAGAAGAATTTACGTCATCAGGTTTGTTCTCAACCTTACTCATTCCTAACTCCTCCTCAAAACAGCTAGGTTAGTTCTTATTTTGAAGTGCTTTATGTCTAGATAGATATTTAAAATTGTTGTTTTGTTTTCTTTTAGAGTAGTGCTTCTCTAACTTCAGTGTGCTTAACTATCTGATGGACTTGTTAAAACAGATATTGGAACCCCACCTCCAGAGATTTTGTAAATCTGGATTGACTTCAAGAATTCAAATTTCTAGTAAATTCTTCAGGAGATAGTGATGCTGCTGCTTAAGGGAACCAGATTTTGGGTAGTAGTCAGAGCCACAGAATTAACTCACCTCCTTTTTGTCTTTCTTTCTCTATCAGTAGCAAAGGGTTATTTTTAGTTATGTGATAAATAGGTTTTGTTTTAGGAACTATATTTTACAAAAACCGCTTTAAGGGCGTTTTACTTCTTTCTGTATGCTCTATAGATAGGACATGTGACTCCACAGGGTGAGATGGTGGTTAACAGTATTCAGGAGACACAGCTCCAGAAACTAAGAAAAAAATCATACTAAACAAAAATTTGTGACGTTTTTATCGCCACCTTGACATGCCATTGAGATTTTAAAATTTAGAATCCTGCGATATTTAGTATTTTAGGAAAATAAATCTGTATATTACTAAGTCAGTTTTTTGTTTTTCTAGATCTAATTACTTGCTTGGACACTGCATCTAATTTTTTGGAACCTGAGTTCAGGTATGACCATTTTTGTGATTTTGTTTGTTTTTGCGTGTTTGTTTAATTTTGTTGAAGGATTCTCTCTCCAGCATTTGAGAGGCATCCTGGTCAGTAGGAGTTAACTACTTCTTTCACTTTTTTATTTTCATTCTGTACACACTTAAGATAAATGTCTATTATGTGACACGTAATCATTGTTCAAAGACACAATAAATTAGAGCTTATTTGAAGACATTTAGTTGCTGTGTTTAAATTTTGCTTCAATTGTAGCATATAGATCTTCTCTAAGATGAAAGTATGAGTTTAATATGCTTTCAAAGTAGAACTATAGAAAAAGTAGAATCTTAAAATTTGGGAAAAGTGCAAATTAAAGTAGAAAAGCTACTTTCATATAAAAAGGAAGGGGGCAATTTAGGCTATCAGAATTCTTCAGCATGTGTACTGTTTCTCTGCTTCATGTCTTAGTCTCTGGCCTAGACGAAGTTCAACTCCTGATTGATTACCCACTTCTAATTTTTGCAGGCTTTGTTCTGCCATTTACACTACTGCCAAGTTGATTTTCAAAATACATATCTGGGGAACCAGCAGTTAGCGTAATGGCTATATCGCTGGACTCCCACGTAGTCGACTGCGGTTCGAGTCCCGGACCCGGTGGCTTAAAACTCATGCCGGGCGCGTGTGCGTGCGTGCCCAAGATCCTGAGAGGAGAATGGAGGAGAAGGGATTGCAGCGTGACCATCCTCCCTGGGGGGTGATTTCTCGCTTTCTGTCTCTATGTCTCTCTCTGTCTGTCTGGTGAGCACACACGCCCTATAGCGAAAAACCTCTCAAAAAAAAAAAAAAAAAAGAAAAGAAAAAATGCATATTTGATCATTTCACTGCTTCAGAATCTCGAAAAAAACTTTTACTATGAGTTTTACAATTTCTTAGCCTGTTCTTTAGGGTCCTTCACAAGTAGTACTTGGGCCATTTTTCCATTCATATTTTATGTACTGCATCTTTGGATTATTTGCACTGCTCTGGGCTCTAAGGACTTTTGCTTAGAATCTCTTTACTGTTCTGGCTTTTCGCAAAATCATTCTCAACTTTTAAGACTCATTTCACTCGACCGCCTCCCAATTTGCTACCATTTTCCAGAGAACTTGAGTTTTGGCTTTAGATAGGACTCTCTCTCAGTACGAAGGACACGCTCTTCAGTATTTGAGAGGGACCCTGGACCTGGCATGGGAGTATGGAAGCCCTGCGAGGGGCTTAGCTGCCCTCCATCCACTCTCCAGCTCCATCATCCACTCCCCGGGTTATTGCACTGTCTGCCAACAGGCGTCCCAGCCTCCACTCATGATTCTACACAGTCTCATTTCTTCCCACTCACCAAAATAACATTTTTAAAAAACAGGAATCAGGGGCCAGCAGGTAGGCAAAGGTTCAGGTGGCTAGCTCTCACATGGCTGACTGCATGGTTCAAGTCTCAGACCTGGCAGCTTGAAAAATATGCCAGGCACATGTGCATCCATGCCCAAGATCCCAGAAGGAGAATGAAGAGGGATTGCAGCATAGCCATGCCCCTGGGAGGTGATTTTTCATATGTTTTCTGTCTCTCTCTGGCAAGCGCATATACGCTATAGCAAGCAATTATGTTGTCAGGAAAGTCATGACATATTTTTCTGTTTTTCTATACAAAAATGCGTCATGATCATGACTTTCCTGACAACCCAGTATATACATGAATCAGGTTATATATGTAAACTGTCAAAATCTTTTATTGACTTCCTATTTTTTTCTGATATATCCCATAGCCCTTGCCATGGCCATGGGGTTTCTGCATGACCTGGCCTCTGCCGATTTCTCTAACTTTCTCTCCAAGTACTTTTGCTCTCCGCACTCAGTTCACACTGGCCATCCTCACTTCCCGGCACACGCCTGGCTGTCCTGCTGCATAGGGTGCCCTTTCTTCTGATCTCTCCATTTCCCACCACTTGTTCCAGTGACGTCTGTTAGCTCACTGTCCCAGCTTCACTCCTTCAGAGGCCTCAGTAAGAGCACAGATCCTGGAGCCCATCTGCCACCCACCAGCTTTGTGGGCACACAACCCCTTGGTTCCTGGTTCCTTTATCTGTAAAGTGAGGATAATAACAGTGCCCACTGCATAGGGTTTTTGTGTGGATTATCTGAAACATTTAGGATGTGCCTGGCACGTAGTAAGTTTCCCGAATGTTCGTATTGCTTTCATTCAGTTAGACTTCTCCCAGTTATTTCAGAGTACTTTTCTTAATAGTAGAATCAAAATCTAATTCATTGTTTAAGTATTGGCTTAGTGTCTTCTACCACAGAATGTAAACTCAGTGAGGCCCAGAGCTCTGTTTGTTAATAATAGCAATACTTGAGTCTAGGAAATTAAAAATACTAGAGGTTTATGTAGTGCACAGTTTTGGAGGCTGAGAAGTTCAAGAACATGCTGCTAGCATCCGCAAGGGTCTTCTGGCTACGTCATGACACAGGAGGGGATAGATGTGCACACGGAATGTCTCTCTCTGTCTTTTGTTCTTCCTTATAAATCTGTAGTGTTCAAATGTGGGCCCCACCCTGATGCCGATCACTTCCCAGTGGCCCCAGCTTTCAACATTGTAATTGGATGAAGTCTTCTCTTAATCCAGTCACGGTCCAACCCAATTCCAGCACATGGAATTTTGGGGGAAACATTCAAACCGTTGCACTAGCACAGCCCAACGTTCAAGAGATAACATGATAAATATTTAGAGAAATGTTTTGAGTGAGTCGTTAGGTAGAGGAGTGAACGTATAAATAAGTGAATGCCAAACTTCTTTTAATGCAACTTAAATTTGATAAATAGAAAATTGATTAACTGTATTATGGTTTATCCACAAACTAGAATATCATGTAACTAGTAAATATGTTAATAGATCTTATAGTAGAAATAGGCATACCATTCACTATGATGTAATGCACTGTGTAGAATATAAGAACATTTTTATAAATATGAGAGTAAAGACATGTTTTATACATGGAAATGCAAGAAAATCTGAGAGGACTTTTATTTATTTTTTTTAAATTTTACCAGAGGATGTGTATGCTTGCAGTAGAGAGAGAAAGAGGAAAAGTGAGAAAGCACCCCTATTGGGAATGGTCCTGCCACAGTCCCTTCTCCATTTTCCCTCCTTTCAGAATTCTGGGCATGCATGCTCATGCGCCCAGTGTGTTTCCCAAGCTACCACACCCATGAAAGGATTTTTTAAAATTGGTGATTCTTTGAGGGTGGTGAAATTATGATGTTTATATTGAACTGAAAAAAAATGCATATATGATGTTTTTGGTCTTTCTCTACAGGAAGTGCAGCATTATATAATCTTTCCCATATTTTCATTCCTTAGTAAGTACTGTCCTGCTGGTTGTCTCCTTCCTTTTGCTGAGATATCTGGAACAGTTCCTCATGGATATAGAGATGTAAGTTAGATATAGACTTATTAAAAGTCATGATATAACTTTATTTTTTTAAGACTTCAGAATAGATATGTTTCTATTATATAGCCTTATCTTTATTTTTTAGGAATTTTTTTTCGTTTTACATTTATATAATTCTGTTACGTATCTGTTGTTAAAATACTAGTAATCTATGTTCATAAGAAAACGCTTGAGGAAGTAAAAGTATCTTATTTATGAATTATCAAAAGAAAATTAAAACCTAATCTTTCCTTTTTCCCTTCCTCAAGTCCTCACCATTGTGCATGGCTGGTGTGCATGCAGGAGTAGTGTCAAACACTCTGGGTGGCCAAATCAGTGTTGTAATTAGCAAAGGTATCCCATACTATGAGAGTTCCTTGGCTAACAACGTTACATCGGTGGTGTAAGTATAGATGCTGTTTATAATAAACATGCTGGGTAGGGGTAGGCGAGGGACTAGATGTCAGCAGTATCTCTGTGAATGTTCATGAAATAACCTTTATACAGTAAGCACTCGTTTGTGTGTGCTCCATGTCCGAGTGTTCCAAAGAGTATCGTCATTGTTACACTATGTTAGCTTGTTTTACTTCAAAAAGTAGTCTTTTGGAAGGGCAGGGTGGTTCTCATTCCAAGAGAATATTTTAAGAGTGTATTTTTATGGTGTCGACCATGTTTTACTGATTTACAAGCAGACTAGGTATCAAAAGTGGAAGAAATGCAGTATTAGCGATCTGTTTTTATAAATCTCAGCTCTTACATACACTTCGTCTTGCAGCCACTACCAAGTACAGTTGAAACCAGCTTCTCTTACAAGATCCAATGACAGTTTTCATTCAGAAGACAAGAGCATGATTCATACCTGGAACTATAGAGCGTGAATCTGCAAACTTCTTATGTAAAAATCTAGCTAGTAAATTGTTTAGGCTTTCTGAGCCACATGTCTCTGTCATGTACTTTTTAGAAGTTTTATATATAACTCCTTAACCATGTGAAAGCCATCCTTAGCTCACTGAGTTTACAAAAGATGCCATTCATGGGCTGTCATTGGCCTACCCTTGCTGTAGAGTCAACTACCTTTCCTTTCTCGGATTTCTTCTAGATTTTTTTGTTTGCTTTTGTTTTGTTTTAAGTTTTTGCCATAGAACATGTTTGTGCACCAGAGAGAGACAGTGAGAAATCACCCCCAGAGGAAGATGGCAACGCTGTAATCCCTTCTCTTCCATTGTCCTAGGAATTTGGGCATACACGCACACACACCCAGCATGATTTTTGAGCCACCAGGTCTGGGACTCAAAAGCAGTCGGCCATGTGGGAATTCAGTACCTTAACCACGACGCCACCTGTTGGCCCCTCTCTAGTTGATTTTTATGCACATCCTTTCATTCTTTTCCCGTTACTCATTCAGAAAGGGGTGTGTGTGTATTTTCCATAATTTAAAAAATAAAGATAGTTGCGTTCTACCTTTAAGGTCTGAGTATTGTGCTGAATGCACACTCTGATGGCTTTATTCCTCCCAGTTTCCTGGGGTCCTTCCTCCTCTCATGGGGTAAGCCAGCCACTTGGCCCACCTGCCGTTCTCTCAGCTCATGCGTTCTGCCCTGTTCTTCAGAGTCCAGTTGTAATGCTGCGTGCTAGTCCCGAGACTTGTTCCCACACACACTGACTTCCTCTTCTAGTAGCCAGCTTACTTCCCGTGTACCGGAGGAAACTCAAGTCTCGTTTTCTGAGAATTACACCTTTAGTATACTTTCATCAAAAACAGTTGCCTTCAAACAGTTTTAGGAGTCACATTAATTCACAATGGAGAAATAGTATATAATAAAGGTTTTGTGGGTACATTTGCATTAATTGTGTGAAATGGAGTGATAAATGCATATAGGAAAAGGGCTATGGAATCTTAATTCTTTAAGTGAGAGAAAAAGGAAACCAATGAAAAAGTTTCACTAAGACAAATATGGGGAAGTCAATGTGTTATGTATTACACAGAAAAAAATGTCTCTTTCTTTCAGGGGACACTTATCTACAAGTCTCTTTACATTTAAGACAAGTGGTAAGTCTTTTATGGACTATAACTTATAAGTTGTGTAATAGCTAATATTTTTGATTAGTGACTGTCAGTCACTGCCTTTTGCTGGTGTTTTGTACTTTGTTTAATTGTCATGGTAACATTGTAAAGTAAGGAAGGTGCTTTTCATATGAGTAGGGAAATGAGCGTGTAAGCAAGGAATGTATCTTAAGATACTTTTGGACTTGTCTGGAGAAAGAATTAGTTTGTTAAACACAGACTGTTTCTTGAGTACCTTCTTTTGTTTGCCACATACCATTCTGGTGTTGATACAACAGTGAGCAAAATACCAGCCTCCTGCCTCCCTGAGCTTACACTGGGGTAGTGAGGGACTGGCGATAAGTAGTAAGTTATCATTTATAATAGGATTTTTTTTTAAGTAGAAAAATAAGGAAGGGAGATAGTAAATGCAGGAGAACTGGTCTGAAGTTTTGGGTAGGATCTGGGAAAGCCTCTTAGAGAATGTGGTGTATGCACGAAACATGAAGAAGGTGAAGGGGTGAGTCATACTCTGAGCCAGGGAGTGACCCAGGAGAAGGTGACAAGTTCAGTAGACAGTTGCTCGTGAGTAAATATTCTTGTAGGTTTCCTAAGGACACACAGTGACATGTGCCCAATAAATACTTGCCTAGCTGTTCATCTTTTAAAATTTATTGTTATTTTTTTTTAAGACAGGGGCTTGCCATTTTGTCGTTTTCCTGCCTG